TATAATAATATATATTATTACTCAGCCCATATAATATTACTTGTACAAATACGATTTCAGGCTTTATAACTTGGTACTGGATAGTCAGTTGGCATTTTCATCCCTGGGGAAGTCTATTTCTCCCACTCTGAGCACTCCTTAGTTGCTTTATAGTTCTTTGTCTAGAGTTGAGGTCCCAAGAGCTTTCTCCTTTCCATACTAGCCTGTCTATTGGTGTGGCCCTTATTCAGGCAGCCATGTTAGTGAGACTTCATTCTAGGAGACATTTCTAGGAGACATAATCTCACAGAAAGAAGATCCTCTGACTCTTACAGTCTTTCCACCCCCTCTTCCACAATGATCCATGAGCCGTAGGCATGAAAGTTATATTGTAGATGCATTAGTTGAGGCTGGGCACCACAAAATCACTTATTCTCTACATTCTGATTGTTTGTGGTTTTCTGCAGTAGTCTCTGTCTGCCACAAGGAAACATTTCTTTGATGAGGGTGACACCTATACTTATCTGTGGATATTAGGACAAATATTTAGAATGTAGCTAGAAATTGTGCTGGTTTAGTAAATTGGTAGTTCCAGATTCTCCTCCAAGATACAGACTTCAGTAGCTTTGTGTAGTTGGCTAGGTTTCCTGTGCCAGCATGATTTTCCTTCTTATTAAGTGGACCATGAGTGTTTAGAAGTGTTCTGGGTTACTTCCAAGCTATGTGTACCCCTATTACATCCTTAGGGTTATGGTGTTATGTTGATCATTTTAATTTGTAGGCAACATAGCTGGGTAGAAATATTGGTTGTTTCTCTCTCTTGGAAGCTTGCATGGAACATCCTGGTACCATGAAAGATAGTTTTTTTTTTTTTTTTTGTCTGTTTTTGTTTTATCGAGACAGGATCTCTTTTTGTAGTCCTGGCTGTCCTGGAACTTACTTTGTAGACCGGGCTGGACTCTGCCTCCCAAGTGCTAGGATTAAAGGTGTGCAACCACCACCACCTGGCTATCATGTAAGATAGTCTTAATGGAGGAAAATTTTAGGTTAGATTTAGATCAGATTCTTTGGAGCCTATGCCTAAAGTATATGCTGTCTTCATCAATAGGGACATACCTTTCATCTCTGGGAGGCAAGCAAGGGCAATATCAACAGCCTATAATGTTTTGGGTGTCTCTTAGACAACCCTGAACAAAGGTGGTCTCTCATATTTATGGCTCTTTGGGGGAGGCATTCTCAGCCCAGATCAGAAAACTTCATTTACACACACACACAAACACACACAGTAATTTTAAGTGAGTTAGATCTTATTAGGCCTCCCTAGTTTACCCCATCTCTCTAGTCAGATCACGTGTACCCTGCTAGTCTCCTCTTTATTGGTACCACCCTCCCTACCCTGGCATTGGTTCCTTTTCCCTTTCCTGCTTTCTGAAGTTAATCAGGCTGTCTTCACATCTGAAGAATTGGGCCCAGGAACATCAGATGAAATATTCCTCTTTCTGGGTCTGGGTAACCTCACTCAATCTGATCTTTTCTAGCTCCATCCATTTACCTTCACCATTCCTGGTTTCATTTTTATTTACATTTTCATTATTCATTTATCAGTTGAAGGACGTTTAGGTTGTTACCATTTCCTACATAATATGTGAGTAGAGCAGCAATGAACATAGCTGAGCAGGTATCTGTGGAGTAGGTTCTGGAGTACTGTGAGTATATGCCAAAGAGCTATATTGCTGGATCATATAGTAGATATACTTTTTAGCTTTTTGAGGGTTCTCTATACTCACTGATGGGCTAGACCAATGTTCAATCCCACCAATAGTAAATGAGGGTTCCTTTGTTTCCAAATCCTCTCCAATATTTAACTACTTATTTAATTAGTTATTTATTGTCAGTTATTTTGTTGATCCTTGGTGTTCTGACTGGGATAAGATGAAATTTCAAAGTTGTTTTGATTTTCATTTCCCTAGCTCCTAGGGATGATGAGCGGTTTTTGAAATATTTCTTAGTTATTTTATTTCTTCTTTTGAGACCTTGCTTTCAGATGCCAAGCCCATTATTTTTTTTTGAATGAATTTTTTGACTGGTTAGTTTTTGAATTACTTACATGTTTTGGATATTAATCTACTGTCAGACGTATAGCTGGTAAAGACTGTCTCCCATTCTGTCGGCTTCTGCTTCTTTGATGGGTTCTTCAGCTTTGTTCAGTTCTTTGCTACTTCTCACCTGAGCAGAGGCAGCCATCCTCTTGTGTCTCTCCCAATAAATCTCTTGTGTGAGGTTTGTTGTGTGGTGTGACTTTGTGGTATTTCTGGTATCCTGGATTACATTTCCCTTCAGAGCTGTAATACTTGACTCAGATAGGCTCTCTTGGTACCTGTGCTTCCCCTCGGGGTCTGAGCTGCACTGGGACTCGGTCCACCCACAACATACTTACCTTCTGGCTCTCCCACTAGTGGCAATTAGGTAAGTTTTACCTTTGGTTGGAGTGACACTTCCCTGAGTTTGAGGAAGTGACTGTTGAATGTCTGACACTCCTCTGGCACTCTTAAGCTGAGGTACCTCAGATGTGGCTGATGCTCTCCACCTGCCCTCCCCCCCCCTTTAAAGCTACAATCCTGCAGTTTATTTTGGCTCAGCTGTACTATTGTGCCCCTTCCTGTCCTTTTCTCTTGCCTTCCCTTTGGAGCTGTCCATACTCCCACAGGTCTTCTAGGCCCTTGCGACTTTTGTGACTCCATTACCCTTTCCTGTGGGTGAGACTCCATTTCTTGGACTCATTTTTTATCCTCATCTCTGGCCTCCATGAAAGCCTTGGTACCAGATGCCCAGTTTCTCCTCTCAGTCTAAGCCCCTGACCCCTGTTGAGTGTTGAGGTTTGAGGTTCAGGAAACTTACACCCAACAGTTCAACCAGACCACCCTAATGGTGGAGCTTGCTCACCATTGGAGACTGCTCACCAGCAGGTTGCCAAAAGAGGGGCTTAGCTCTGTAAGACCTAAATCAACTTCTAAGCCACCTGAACGCATGCTTGCTTTCTCTATGATCAAACTAGAAACAATTGTTGACATTGGCCAGAGACATATAGAGGCTGCCCTTATTGGTCCTGTAGGAGACATGATGCATATCCAGGAAGGCATTCTACCTTTTATGCAGAATGGGGGATCTTTTATACCCTAATTAAGGACCCATGGCACCCCAGATGGGAGATGGGGTTCACTGGTAAACTTTTTCTTTTTGAGACAGGGTTTCTTTATGTAGCTTTGGAGCCTGTCTTGGAACTCATTCTGTAAAGCAGGCTGGCCTTGAATTTATAGAGGTCTACCTCTGCTTCCCTAGTGCTGGGATTAAAGGTGTGTACAACCACATCTCAGCATCACTACCCTTCTTAACTCCTTTTCTCCTGTTTTTTTTTTTAATCCTACCAATCTCATCCTGTCTTATAAACTTCTTGTTTAGATTTGTTCAGCAACAGATTCAAATGATTTCTAACCAGACTTTTAATTATTTGCTATTACAGATTACCAGCCCCTAGATCCTGAGCCAAATGCCTGTAATCATCCCCACCCTCCATTATACCCCCAGTGAAAAGATCAAGTTTGCCCCAAGGAATTCAATGTCCCAGACCCCTGACTGTTTATCACTAGTAAACAAAAATGGATAGAATGTAAGCCCCTGGAGGCAAGAATGGCTAGGCCCCATCTGCTACTTCTTTAAAGGCCATCCCAACCTTTGAGGTAGGAGAGTGGTCAGGCCCCACACTGCAGAACAACAACAACAAAAAAGCCCAAGATCAAGCCACAAAAATCCCTCCAATCCCAGGTCACCTGAACAGCTCTGCCCCGAAATCACCCTATATAAAGCCTGCCTCTTGCTCAGTTCTTTGCTGCTTCTAGACTGATCAGAGGCAGCCATCCTCTTGTGTCTCTCCCAATAAATCTCTTGTGTGAGGTTTTTTTATTTATTATACTATTTTTTTTATTTAAAACCAATCTTCTTTTACATACCAATCCTAGTTCCCTCTCCCTCCCATCCTCTCATGCTCCACACCAACCACCCATCTCATCCTTCATCCACTCCCCAGGGAGGGCGAGCCTTCCATGGGGATCATCAAATCATTTGGGACAGGGCCTGGGTGCTCCCCCATATGTCTAGGCTGAGAGAGTATTCCTCCATAAGGAATGGGCTCCCAAAGGCCGTGCACTAGGGATAAATACTAGTTCTACTGCTAGAGGCCCCATAGACTGTTTTGGCCTCCCAAATGATACCCACATTCAGGGGGTTTGGTTCATCCTGTGCTGGTTCCCCAGTTGTCAGACTGGGGTCCATGAGCTCCCACTTGCTCAGGTCAGCTGTTTCTGTAGGCTTCCCCAACATGGTCTTGACACTTTTATCCATCACTATGGGTCATGACTTAATGGTATTCCTTGTCTCCTGTCTGCCAGGATACCTTTCCCTTTAGGTTTCCCTCTCAGAGCTGTAGTACCTCCATGAGGAAGCCTCTCAAAAACTCTAACAGTTAAAGGCAGTATGAAAAGAGCCAGTCTGCTCCCACCCACCCTCCTCTGCTCCTGGATTGACAAGTTGTGGCACAACTTAATGAGAGCTTCCACTATTTCTGTCTTCCATTTGCTGAACATACACGGCCATGGTTTTGAATCTCCAAAATTGCGAGCCAAATAGATTTCTCTTCCTCATAACTAGACTGTGTCTTGTATTTTGTTACAAAGATGAACAGCTGATTAAAACATGTAGTATCTTCTTTGCAAAGCCCCATATTCCTTGAGATCAAGCACAATGTTATATTTACAATATTTACCCAACTACTGCTATAAAACAGCATTAAACATATTAAATAAACATTCAGTACATAGTTATTAAGTAAATAAGTGATTACAGATTACATTTCTAGATATTTGTTCTTCTAACCCACAAACTCTCACATACACATGCATATGTGTACACTAAGGGCTGGCTTATAGATGCCCACACAACAAATTTATAAATGCCTTGGGAAGACCTGTTGGTTAAAATCCATATTTATTTAATCAACTATGATTTACCAAATTGAATCAAATCACAAAATTCAAGGTGCAAGCAATGTGTAAATTATTTCCTCATTTGTCAGGGAAGAGAGATGCTGGGTTATGAAAGCCCAGAAGGAGGAGGACATCTTTGGGTTCCAGTGAGAGGTGCTTCTAGAATCTTTAGATTTAATTACATGGTGGAGTTTTCTTAATTTGTCTTTGGATGGTGTCCATATGTATTCTGGGATCTGTTTGAGTCATAGGCAGGACCTGTGTTACTGGAAAACACAAGGAGGAACACTGAGTGACAGGAGGGTGGTCATGCACAGAGGGATTAGACATTGTGTGATGCTACCTGCTTCTATACAGGTATGAGAAACAGAAAGACCCCCTTTAAACTACACTCACCTGTATGCGTTATCAGCCCTGGACCTGGAGGTGAACACAGAGATAAGAGCACCTATGATGAGAGGTATCAGTCCACCTGTAAGTGCCCTCCCAAGAAATCCTAGAATCTGGAATCAAAATGAACAGAAAGGGCATGAAAACAAGTTTGGATACCAACAAATTTGGTGTTGAACCTGTCTCTATGGCTTTGGAAGTCCCCTAGTATCTCTCAGTTCCACTGGGGAAAATGTCTGTTTGAGCCTTTAAGAGGATCCAGTGTGGGTAGAAAAAAGTTTTTTTTTTCTTTTAACCTCTGAGTACCAGTCATTTGCTTAGGTAAAGACATGTGGCCTGGAGTCAGTGAGACAGTGAAAGTGCTGTGTGTAGGAAGTGAATAGTGTTTGTGTTGTGTACAAGAACACAGAGAAAGGCTGGAGAGATGACTCAGAGGTTAAGAGCACTGGCTGCTCTTCCAAAGGTCCTGAGTCCAGTTCCCAGCAACCACATGGTGGCTCACAGCCATCTAGAATGAGGCATGTAGGCAGACACTGTATACATAATAAACAAATCTTAAAACACACACACACACACACACACACAGGGAGAGAGAGAGAGAGAGAGAGAGAGAGAGAGAAAGAGAGAGAGAGAGGTGAGATAGAGGAAAAAGGAGGCATGGATATCATGAGGGACAAAGAGCATGCAGAAAAAGCCTCCTGAGAGAGGGGAGACTTCCAACGATTGTTAAGGTGCCACATCTTCAGTGATGAGTAGTTTTCTGGTCCCGATGTGCCCTCCTGACACTATTCTTTGTCTTTGTCTTTTCTTTAGTATCTTTACCTTCTGTTTCTCAATCTGTACTCCCCTTCTTAGGTATGAACACGGAAAGTCAGCTCGACCTGTCTGAAGCCTCACAAAGCCTCACATGAGGCTTCCCTTTATCTGGTGAAAAAGATCCAATGAAGTGATTCCTAAGTTGAACTAATTCAGCAGAAGAGGAAACCAGAGGAATATAAGCCTGACACTAGACAGGTAGGAAGCCAATGGAAGTGCTCTTTGAACCACGGAAGAGATGTCAGCTTCCTCAGAGACAAATGGCATGAGCAGTCATCAGCAATGCCCTTCTAGGTAGGGGGCTAGAAGAAAAATAAGAGATAGCAGATTTCAAGAGCAATAATGAAAGATCTCCATGCTGTTCATGAGGCATATTCCTGCACTGGACTTCCACTGCTAGAAAGTGGACCTGAATTAGATTTCAATAAATGCTAAAGATCTGAAGGCTGCTTGTTACTAACTCCAGATAAAGATGAACTAATGGCAGAGGTTAACAAAGGCATAAGGTAGATTGATAGTAATCAATGCTGTTCAGTTATTTCCTCCTGGCCCAAAGCCAACAGAAGTGAAAGGTAAACCGATTGCAATGAGTAATAATTTTTCTGTCTTAAACAGAATTCTGAGGTTTAGGCTACACAATGAAACTTTTAACTGACTACAAGTTAAAAAACAAAACAGTAAGATCATTTATTTCCTTTTTGGTTGGCCTGAAAAGCTGGATTGTCACTTATGTGCCCATGGCACATGCCTGCAAGAAGAGAAGATACTCCAAAGAGAGACACTCTATTTAAATATAAATCTCATGGATCTACATTTCACAATTGTCACTTAAATTGACATCTCGAAGACAGTAGTACAGTTTAACTTGTTAGGACTACGTGGGTTCAGGCTTGTACCCTAAAACTATGACAATGTCACCTGAGAAGAGGTCAAATCTGCATATCAATGTAAAATGTAAAGAGCAAAGACCCCAGGATCTTGCCTCTATTTTTCTGGAGTGTCTGTTATTAGGTGTATCATGTCCCTTTCTCCTTTTCCAAACCCTTTGTCTCAGCAGCTACCAAGATCTTCAGCTTGCCTTCCTGTCTTGTTTTCTTTTCTTTCTAATGTTAGCAAAATTCTCTCAAATCTCCAATGCTCTCACTGAATATGTTTTAAAATTGTGTGTGTGTATTCTTACATGCGTGGAGAGGATTGATATGTGTAGTGTAAGAGTGTGTGGCAGGGCAAGCTTTAGGAAAGGGGTGGGGAGTGGCGATAGAGGAAGAAAGGGGATGAGGGAGAGGCTATGGTTAGTTGTGTAGGTGGAAGGATTTCAATTACAGGGGACACTAAGAGTTCAGTGACAGGCACAGCTTTTAGAGCAAGACCCAGCTCCCCTAGAGCCATTAGTGTTGCTTCCTATACCCCAGGCTATAATCCAGCTCTGTGGACACATGGAGACATCCACTCTGCAAAGAAATCATTGTCTCCCAAGGGAATCTTACTTCTTCACAGTAACTAAATTTCATACAACTTTTGAAATTAGATGCATGCATTCGCTCTTCCTAAGACCAGCAAACTGAACTGAATCCTTCCCAAGGGCAGCCACCCCACAGAGACTTCCCCATATAAATCAAGAGACTTACAGAAGGCATCCTGAAGTTGGCACCTACTGATCTGCTTGGCTCTTTTATGCCCTTAAAAGTTTAGGACAAAGCAAAATTTTTAAAGAAGTTTAGCTGAGCAGAATTCAATTCCTGAATTGTACAACACCAAACTAGAAGAGGTAAAAGTGCTGATGATACTCAACCAAAAGAAGTCTTTATATAGTGTACAGGAAGGGAAAATGAAACAACTTGCTTAGTTGCATGTGGAGAACTGCCTTCTTTGGCTAATGTCAAGTTTGTTTTTGACTCTGAGGTTCAGTTTTGTTTTCCTCTAACAGAAGCATTTAAAGGAAATGTCTGCAGTTCAGTTTAATCTTTTTCTGTTTATGTAAGATCAGATCTACTGGCCTCATTGGCTTTTGTTTACTTGTGATATTTTCAGCCTCTTCTGAGTTGACTCATTGCCTTAAACTGCTCCCAGCTATACCTGCCAACTTGAATTTGGTCCCTGGGATCTGCATGGCTGAAGGAGATAACTGACTCCCCAAAACGGTATTTTGACATTCATGCAAATACCATGGCAAATACTCCCCCATGCATACAAAGTAAATAAAGTGTACATGTGCACATGCAGAGAGAAAAACACATGGATAAATATTTATTTTTGGAAATCTTATTTATTTACTATTTATTTATTTTGTGTACAAACATTTGTCTGTGCACCATGCAAATGCAGTGTTCTTGGAAGCTAGAAGAGGGCATTGGGTTCTTCTGGGACTAGAGTTACAGGCTGTCGTAAGCTGCCATGTGGATTTTGGGAACCAAATTCAGGTTCTGAGGAAAAGGAGCCAGTGCTCTTAACCATTGAGCCATCTCTCCAGCCCCAGATTGTACTTTTGAAGCAAAATTTAGAAGCTTTGACTCAGAAGGCTAAATCTACAATTATGACAGAAATAAAAGTTTTAGATCTCTTATAATTTTATTGAATAGTGCTAGTTATTACAGTTATTCTGATATATGGGCACACACACACACACACACACACACACACACACACACACACACACACATATATATATATATATATATATATATATATATATATTAACAGTATAACCATTTAGTCAAGGCCAATAAGCCAGTTCCAAATGGCAAGGTTGTCCAAATGACAGGTTAAGCAGGCAAAAGCCTGAAATATAAACAACAGGAAAAAATGCATATATCTGTATATATTTTAACCAAACAGCTCAGTCTTGGTGTAAATCTGTGGTAAAGACAAAAGTACAGGAAGATGGAATGGTATTGAGTCACATATTTAAGTTAAAATGTCAGAAGATGTCAGGCAGCAATTTATGGGTTCAGATAGTCTTGTATTTTCTCCAGGACTCCAACAGACAAACACTGTTTGGAATGTACACATAAATTCTTAAATAGCCATCATATGCACTCACCAGACATTTGACGAGTCAAGCAACTGAACAATTGCCTTTACTAGGTTCTCTGTAGCATAGTTAGATGTTATAATACCAAAATATGTGTTTACAAGAATATGTGTTATGTATTAGCAATTTTAACAATAGAAAAATGAGCCCATTTCAGTAATGACAAGCTACACGTTTATATATGGATCAAGGACAAGAAAACATGCAACATATACAATATTCCAGAGACCCTTTTCTTGTCTTCCCACTTCTTCCTGCACCAGTTGCTCTATACTTCTAGTTGGTGAAGCAAAGAAATGAGTATTTGAACTCTCTTACTGATCTCAAGAGTATGTACAGGTTCATCTTTTAAATTTGCCTAGCCAAAGGTCAGTTTAGTGCTCACATTTGAGTGGCTCAGGATACAGATGGCGCGAGCTGGCACTCTGCTAGTTGTCTTTTTCTTCTTTAATTCCATCTAGGACCCCCATGGGATGACTCTATCCAGATTTAAGCTATATTTTCTTCCCCACACTCTCACAGACTCTCCTGGAGGAATACCTAACCATCTCCTAACTAATTCTAAATTCTGTCAAGCTGAAAACAAAGACGAACCATTCCAGATGCAGTCGTAGTCACTGTTCTATCGCTGTGAGGAGACACCATGGGACAAGAGAACTTGTATAAAAGAAAGCATTTAATTGTGGGCTTGTATGGTTTTGGAGGGTCAGTGCATGATCATCATGGTGGAAAGTAGACAGGCTTTCTGTGTTGGAGCAGTAGCTAAGAGTTACTTCCTGATCAGAAGTTAGTGGAGGGGGGGAAGAAGGAGGGAGAGAGGGAGAGAGAGAGGAACAGAGAGAGAGAGAGAGAGAGAGAGAGAGAGAGAGAGAGAGAGAGAGAGAGAGAGAGAAGTTTGGCGTGGGCTTTTGAAATCTGAAAGTCCAGCCCCAGTGACACACTTCCTCCATCAAGGCCACATCTACTCCAGCAAGGCCAGGTCTCCTAATCCTTCTTAAACAGTTCCATTATGGGGCTCTAGCAAGCAAACATATGAGCCTATAGGGGCCATTTTCATTCAAACCATCACATATAGTCATTATGATCTTTGATAACAATATTTAAATTCTTGTCTATCAATAAAGAAGTTAAGATGCAGCCATTTCTTTTGGAAATTCTTTTCACACTTTCATAAACAAAGCCTAACAGCCTCAGGGGAAAAAATAATGGTCAAGTCTTGATGGAGCTAGCTGTCGCCCAGTCTTGGTGTGATGGGATAATACTGAAAGACCCCAAGAGTTCGGAGCCTGTCAAGGAGAGGCCCTTGCCCCAAGAGACAAGACCAGACCACTGGATGCAAGCACAAGAGACTGTTTATTGCTTACACAGGTACCTGTGGACGCTTCAGTCTTTCGGGGGACTGAGTGTGCCGAGGCTAAAACTCAGGCAGTTTATATAGTGTTGGGGTGGCAAGAAGCAGGCTTACAGAAGCAGAAGCATGGTTACAGGGATTTCATTGGTCCATTCAATTAAGGCAATTGGGGTTAACCAAGGACAGAGTTGCTTATTCGGGTTGGGCACAAAGAATACAAAGAATTCAGTTATGACTATCTCAGCACTCTGGTGGTCTCGATAGAATGCTTCCAGGACTTTCTGTTCCCAGATATCGTCCTGCTGACCTTGCTTTGGTCCAAGGTGCAGACCACAGATATCTGGTTGGTGTTGGATGAGAGCAGCACCTGGTTCCCTCCTGTACTTTTCCCATAACTTGACCTTGGCAAATTGGCAAGAGCAGTTCAAACAGGCAATATGCATAGTGTGAGGCTGGACCATTTCAGCAAGAAGCCTTGAAGTTGTTCTGGATGTAGAACTTCAACAGAGGAACTTTAAGAGACTGGATCACCTGGGCCACCTGTTTTCACTGGTATCCAGTCCCCTTGTTCTGAAAACATACAAACTTTCTTTTTGCATTTTTAAAAATATTTTTTTCTTATTTTATGTAGTGATACCAGTTCCCTCTCCCTCCCTTCCTTCCATGCCCCACATCGATCCCCCATCCCATCCTCCATTCACTCCTCAGGAAGGGTGAGGCCTTCCAGGAGGGATCATTAAAATCTGTTAAGTCATTTGGGGTAGGGTCTAGGCACTTCCTCATGTCTCTAGGCTAAGGGAGTATCCCTCCATGGGGAATGGGCTCCCGAAATCCTTTTCTGCACCAGGGATACATCTTGGTTCCACTGTCAGAGATCCCATAGACTGCCCAGGCCTCTTAACTGAGACCCACATTCAGGGGGTCTGGGTCAGTGCTATGCTGGTTTCTCGGCTATCAGTCTGGGGGTCCATTACCTCCCCCTTGTTCAGGTCAGCTGTTTCTGTGGGTTTCTCCAGCCTGGTCTTGACTCCTTTGCTCATGACTTCTCCATCTCTGCACTTGGACTCCCGAAATTTGGCTCAGTGTTTAACTGTGGATGCCTGCTTCTACTTCCATCAGCTACTGGATGAAGGCTCTAGGATGGCATATAAAATAGTCATCAATCTCATTATTAGGGAAGGGCATTTAAGGTAGCCTCTCCACTATTGCTCAGATTGTTAGTTGGGGTCATCCTTGTAGGTCTCTGGACATTTCCCTAGTGCCAGATTTTTCTTTAAACCTATAATGGCTTCCTTTATTATGGTATCTCTTTTCTTACTTTCCTCTATTCTTTCCCTGACTCAATCTTCCTGTTCTCTCATGTTCACCTCTCCCCTCCTCGTCTCTTCTCTTTCTTCTAACTCCCTCTCTCCTCACCCCCTCCTAATTTGCTCAGGTGTTATGAGTAGGTTTTCCCTCCCGCCTGGACCCAGACTGCGCCAGCCCCAATCTAAGTATTTCAAAGTGGTCTCATCTTACCAGAAAGAGGGTCCAGAGTTCTTTTGTCTCTGTCCTCCATGTTGAATCTCTTCCTAGTCTCCTAGTCCTGCTTATCTTGCTTTCCTAGTGGCCAACAGTGCTTTATTCATTAACCAATACGGGAAAAATATTTACAAAATTACATCACCCATCATCTCTTTTCTGTCTAAAATAAAAAGGGTTTTAATTTTAACATAGTAAAATATATAACAAAACAGTTATCAAATAAGAACCATAGTTAACAATATTAAGTCTATTAACACTTAGCAATATTTAAAGAAAATATTTCATCATTTATCCTATGTTTGTGAGTCTAAAGTCCTATGTGTAATTTATCTTTAATCCTAAGAACAGGTTTTCCCGCCGGTCTGGTCCCACAGCCGCACCAGCCCTAAATAACACACAGAGAAACTGTATTCGATGCAAAGCTATTGGCCTGTTATTAAGCATTTCTTATTGGCTAGCTCTGTCTTAAATATTAACCCATTTCTATTAATCTAAGCATTTCCATGTGGTCTTATCTTACCGGAGAGAGGGGCCAGAATCCTACATCTTGAATCCTCTCCTACCTCTTCCTATCTCCTCCTTGTCTCCTAGTCCCACCTATCTTGCTTTCCTATTGGCCAAAAGTGCTTTATTCATTAACCAATAAGAGAAACATATTTACAGAATGACATCTCCCATCACTCACTCAGGAGATCTTATCCCTTTTCCCGTCTGTGGGGGACCATTTATGTCTTTCTTAGGGTCTGTCTTGTTTTCTAACTTCTCTGGTGGTATGGATTGTAGGCTGGTGATCCTTTGCTCTATGTCTAAAATCCATATATGAGTTATTATATTTTGTGTTTGTCTTTTTGAAACACACAAATTTTTAAAGGTAACATATATT